CCAGCCTGGGCCGACCTGGCGCGCTCCAGACGTTCTGCACGGCAACCCCCCCCCCTTCACTCTCACAGCAATAATCTCCTCAACACTCATAAAGTACTTTCCAGTATTGGCATTTTACAAAGGAAGTGGACACTGTTCCCATTTTAGAGATGGCAAGGCTGGCGGTCAATGATTTGGCCTGAGGCTTTGCCATGGATCAGGCCAGATCTATTCCTGATGTTTCTTCCTTTTCTGCAAGAAGCTCCCTTCTGTCTGTTCCGCGCCCACTCCTAATGTAGAGAAGAGAGCAAGTCGCGCTTTTCGAGAAGCGTGGAGGAAAATGCAAGGAGCAGCTCCAGGCAGCAGAAATAACCCTCACGGGGCCATTCCGACAAGCACATCCAGTCCAAATGCCCCTTTCCCAGGGCCGTGTTCTGGCAGCAGAGGGAGGATTCTGCGGCTTTGAGGCATAGCCTGGCCGTGCTCCGGGACACACGGAAGGGCCATTGAGAAACCCCCCCCACGCATTCTCGGGGCAGCGTTGCACTTTCAAAAAGTTATTTAAAAGAAAAATACCAAATAAACAGGAGAAGAATAGATGCATCAACATTCATGCTGCACTTCAACAGGCAGGTGGGAACAGCTGAGCTAACTGCCTGGTGTGACTCTGTCGTTTAGCTTGTGGAGCTGGGAAAAGCTGCGTTCAGCCCCCTTTGCAGGCTCCGGCCCGTTGCCCACGCAGATTCAGCAGGTGGCGGCCGCCCTGCCCCTCTCCAAGGGGAAAAGGCTCAGAGCAGGGAAGAGGAGAGAGGCCCCTCGCCACCCCCAGCAGCACTGGCGGATCCAAGCAGCCGTCCTTTCCACAGTCTTTCCCCTTCCTAGTGGCTCCTCCGCCCTCTGCAACAAACCAACCGCTCTGTGCAAAGCCCGGCAGCCCTTTTATGGACCCTCAAGTTTAGCTTTCACAAACACTTCCAACATCAGGGCAATTAATGCTTGCTAAGCCTGGCTCCCCCTCCCCTGCCCCAGTTTCATTCTAAATGCTTTTTTAAAGAGTTTAGATAAGCATCTTCCAAAGATATTTAGAAACACTTTGCAGGTAATCTGCGCTGCCTTAGCACAGGAGACCGCGAACCACCTTTTCCAAGCCAGCTTGCAAGCTCGAAAATTGCATGAAGCCATTTCAGAAGGGGAAGAAAGCCGCTAAACCGGCCCGCGGCCCGGGCACCTCGAGTCAGCCTGTGCGGGCTTCCAGCTGGGCCGTGGGGCGACGCCGAGGGAAGCGCGGAGGGCGGGTTGGCAGACGTGGCCGATCTCGATCTCACGCGCGGGACGGGGAGGGTGCTGGGAGCAACTGCACTGCAGCACCGGCACTTTGCATATGCTCAAGCCCCCCCATGACAGCTGGGCTGCAGCTGCTCGGGCACCACTCCCCAGATGGCCCCTCACCCTCCCCGGGCCCCACCCTCATCCCTGCAGCCACGACCCGTGGCAGGTCCTTGGATTTTGTGCCGAAGGGCACGTCCGGAGACTCGGTCAGCAGGAGGAGAGCCTGAAGCAAAACTGGACCGGTTTGGAAGGCAAGCTGGCCCAGCCCTTTCGCCTGTGGCCCCGCCCACCGCAGAAGTGCGGCCCCCGAGAGCCCCCCCCACAGGGAATGCGGCCCTCGGACCCCAGGAGGCCTGTGCTCCTGCGACAGAGAGAAAGCCTCTGAGTCAGATACCCGGGCCAGGCGAAGAAACGTAGGCTGCGGCCACCGAGGCATCCCGCCGCGGCCTTTCAATTCACGAACACGCCACGCATCTCCAGCACGCGCCCATCTCCGAGCCAGGTTCACCAGGCACCTCACAGCCATCGCAGGGTGTGGGGGTGTGGGGAGCCAGCGTGGCGCAGTGGTGAAGAGCATGGGACTGGGACTCGGACGACCTGGGTTCCAGTCCCCGCTCAGCCGTGCAGCCGGCTGGGTGCCTTTGGGCCGGTCACAGACTCTCGGCCCAACCTACCTCGCAGGGTGGTTGTTGGGGGGATAAGACTGAGGTGAGAATGAGAATCATCTAAGACACCGCTTGATCCTTGGAAGGGACCAAGGCAGGGTGGAAATACAATAAACAGGCAAACAACCTGTGAGCTCACGTCAATGCACAACTCCTCCTCTGCAGCAGCTGTGCACGAAGCGGAGTGGCCCGTGGCCCGTCACACCCGCACAGCCAGCCACGTGCCGTGATACGTGCGCCTGTGAGAGAGCCCAGGTTCCCTGCAGAGCACACGTCCCTTCCAGCCTAAGAATAATGAAGGCGCAACGTCTGAACAGCTTCTGTTCTGGGCCTCTCGGAGGCAGCTCCTCCCGGTCTCTCCGGCCGGACCCCTTCCCCATCAGGCCTGATTTGCGTGAGGCGCTCTGGGGCTTGGCTGCCCCGAGCAGGACTCCTCAGCGGGGGCAATGCTGAAGCGATGCTGGAGAGTCTGGGCACATCGCACGAACGCTGCCTAGATTAAGGGAGAGGCCTCCTCACGGCCTCGTGCAGAAGACGGGGCAGGCCCAGTCTCTGCCACTGCGGAGGAGAGGACCAGAGCTGGGGGGTGGGAGTTGGAGGAAAGGAGATTGCAGCTGGACACGTGGAGACACTTCCTAAGGGGGCCGCTGCTCAGTGCAGCAAGCAACGCGGGGAGACGGGGGGTTCTCACTCAGGGCTGCAACTCGGGCAAAGCTTGGATGGCCGGCCATCCACCAGGGATGCTGCCGTTGCCGATTCCTGCCTTCAGCAAAGGGTCAGACTAAATGACCTCCAAGATACCTTATAATTCTATGATACCAAATAATTCTATGAATTTGTCATGCGCCACATTCTATGAGAGCTGACTCTCAAAACAGTTCAAATGCACTTTCGTTCAGCCCATTTGTATTGAGATCTCTTGGACTGGATTCTGGGATTTTTAATTCCATGCTACTTTAGGATTTTATGCTGAAGGACAGCTACCAAATTAAGTAAACCAAACCAAAACTAAAATGTTTATGCCAGGTACTGCCAGGCCAAAATATTGTTATTACAGTCATGGGATCTATAAGCGTAGATTCTGATAGTGAGCACAGAAAAAAGGATCTCAAAAGAGACCGGTATGAGGAGGCTGAGAAATACAGTGAATATGAAACATTCATAGGAAGCAAGGTTCTGGCCCTCCCGCGTGTGAAGGTAAGCAAGTCCTGGACAAACCTTACAATGGAGGCTACTGTGCCATCCACCGCCCTTCCCTGTGACCAGCAGAAGCAGAACAAGGGCAACATCCACGCACATTCAGAAAGGAAGAAGTGCTCCTGTGCCGGACTCGCTCAGCCAGCCTGGCTGGGAATGCCGAGAGCTGCGGACCTTCTCCGTCTGTATATGCCCTGGACTGCGACCGTCGTCGGGCAAAAACATGCCACTGCAAGAACCATGATTTCGTCTGCATAATCAATGCTGGCCGAGAATGGCGCTTCGCTTGGCGCAGTGTGCAGAGGTCGTCCGTCGAGGGAGCCCCCTCCGCAGGTACGCCAGCATGGCTGCCCCTCGAGAGAACTCTGGCCCATGCGGCAAACAGCTCCTGGCGCGGAACCAGCAAGGAGAGCGCAGCAACAGCCTCCCCCAGCACCGGTCCTGCATGTGCTTGGGGACGGTGGCGTGTGTGCCGGGGGGAGGCAGGGTCAGGGCGAGTTTTCTAACAACTTTGCAGACAGCCAACTTCTGGGGAACTCTGCTGCTCCCCGGCCCAAGCCTGGGGGGAAAGCGCCAGCACGCTTCACCAGTCCGGGCACCGGCAGCCGTGCCTCACTCGGCTTTGGCCCTGGAAGCCACTTCCTGACCTACCCATGGCCTCTGAAGGAGTTTCTCTTCTGCTATTCCGGGCGCCCCTCCCTTCTGCAGCTCCCTGCTGGGCGCTGCATCAAAAGGCAAGCAAGCTCACTTCTCCTTCCTCGCCATGCGCGCAAAACCTCAGCAAGCTCAGAGATGCAGCTGCAGCAAGAAACATCCTTCGTGCCCTAAGACGCTCAAGGGGGCCCTGAGCCCAGTCTCCTGCCTCCAACGGTGGGCAGCCCCCAACGCCTGACATTCAGAGACACCCTGCGTTTAACGCGGAGGGCCGGCCGCTTCTCGCCTTGTCCTCCAAGATCTGCCGAGCGGTCTTCCAAAGGCCCTAAGCCAACGATCGCAGCCCACCTTGCAGCAGCAAATCCCGCAGCTTCACCAAGCGCCCTGTGAAGACCCAGATGCGAGGAACACACAGGTGCAGGAGCACGTTATCTGACCAGGCAAAAGGCACCGGGCCAGGAGCTTCCGCGCAGTCACGGCTGCCCAGAGCACGCAGCCAGCTGCCGGCTATCAAAACTCTTGGAAGAATGGCTTGAAACCTCCGCTCATCCCATCGCCTTCCAAAGTTTGTCTTTCTAGCACTGCGGTGATAAGGTTCCCTTGCTTGTTTCGGCCTCCAGCTTAAACACAAACGAGACTGGATCAAGAACGCCATCATTATTCACACACACAAAATCAAAAACGAGTTTGGGAAGAGAAGGAAGCAAGCAAGCAAGCAAGCAAGGAAGTGGGGTTTGAACTGCGAGGCATTTCGATCAGATACAAGCAAATGATGCATTGCAACTACTTGAACTTCACACTGGGTTCCAATCCAGAACTCAGGACATGTGCCCCCCCGCCCCCACGAGCTTCAGTTTCTCAACTTTAAAACAATAACAACAGTCCATGGCTGTTTAAAAGCAAAAAGAATAAAGCTCTAAAACATTTGGCATCCTAAAGGCATCATGTATGCATAACATTAATTAGAACCATTGCTACTCATATGGTCCCAACATTAAATAGCAAAAGTAATCCAGGCCCCAAACACAAAGTCCGAAATATACCAAGGTCGTTTGCTGTGGCTGTTGCATTACGTAATTCAATTTTAATATTTACACACCAACCTATATCAAGACAAATTGCAGCGCTGCGAGCACAAGCTAAATGCAATCAAACAACATCGCAAACGTAGCTTACCAAAAAATCCGGAACAGGACTGAGAACCAAAACCCAAAATAGTACGGTCCAACTGCCCGGGTATATCAAAAGGATTTTGCTGGACGTCTGAAAGGGAATCATACTGGTTGTAGTATTTCTGGGAGTGCTTTCCGGGGGACAACTGGAAGAAAGCGGGTGCCAGCCAGGGCGCCCCCAGACTATTTGATGCCGTGGATTCAGGAAAGGAGCAGGACAGGCGAGTGACATTCTGGGATTTCGGGGAGCACTGAGGGGGCACCTGCCCCGGCAGGAAGCAAATCCCGTTCTCTCTCCACTCCCCACCTTGGTCTCTAAAGAGCAGGAGGGTCTTTCTGGCCGGTGCCCCAGAGAATGCCTCGGGCGGTGGGGTGGGGTGCGCTGCAGTGGGACCGCTTGGGGGAGGCCCACGGGACTTCGGCCTCTCACACCAGCCAGGAAGCGCCCCTGCGCCACCAGGTGCTCCAGTGCTCGGGGGCTTGCGCAGCGCAGCTCCTTGGAAACAGACCTGCCCGCCAAACACAGAGGGAGGGAGCATGGGAGATGGGCCCCTTGCCAGGGGGCTCCTCTGCCCCACGGAGAATGGGCTGCCAGCCCTCCCGGCCTGGGGCCGGGCCAATGTGTCAGCCCAGGAGGGGCAGATGCAGGCCTCCGGAGGGCTTGGGGCGCCCGCCCGCCCCCCAAGTCCCTACCGGCTCGGCCAACGGCCGCACTCCTGAGGGCTGAGTCCCCACACAGCCGGGGGGGCTCCTTCTGCCCACCCGTGGGGTCTCGCCTCCAACTCGGTCCCCTCTTCCGGCTGGGGATGATGGGCGCCGCGGTCCGACCCTCCCGCGGGGTGGGGGCGCTCCGCCGAGCGTCCCCGGGCGCGCTTGCGGCCGCCGCGCGCTCCCAACGCGGAGATGCGCGCGAGTCCCACGGCCGCCGCCGCCGCTG